AGGTTAAAAAGAGCGAGGTTACAAAATAAGACACAATTTGATAAGCAGCATAGATTGAGGCCTAAAGCAATTGAAGAGGTGATTGGATTTTGGTCTATGATAGTAGCTTGGACAATCAACATAGTGCTTTAAGGAAGTTTTCTAAACGATGGTTTGGTCCATATGTGGTAACAACTATTCACGATAATGTAACTTACTTGTTGTAGGAATTAGATAGAATAAGGTTAAAAATACCAATTACAAGGAAACGAGTAAAAATATTTAAGCAAAGGTATATAAGAATAAATATAGAAGACCTTGGTGAAGATATAGATATTCTTCAACAAGAAGATGAATTTGACATGGATAGCAAAAATGATGAAGAAAATTTAGACAAAGACTTGGAGAACGTATTATTAATCAAACAACAATTGGATTATTTGGTGCATACCAGAGGATGCACAGGTTTAGAGAGGGTGGATGTCTTCTTGTAACACGACTATGTCGTAAAAATATAAATAAAAAAGATATTATTAATATTTAGTCATCTTGGATGTTAGAAATATTGGCCAATTTTAGTGCCAATATTCAGGGTTAGTTAATGTCACCCCACTGGCGTCATCGAATCAAGTACCTTCCATACCAATGGGACAACCAGGATCATTTTTCAACCCTACTTGGAACAAGCCTAGAAGGTATATACCGATGGACACACCCAATATACATGATGGAGGTACAGGAAGACCACTTCGTTATTTCCGTTGTAGACAGGTTGATTATTATGCCAGTAAATATTCCAATCTCAAAGCTAGTGATGATTATATGCCAATGTGTAGGAATCGCAAGCAGTCGAGGCATACTTATCAGTAATATAATGCTCTGTCCAATTTCAATAAACGGGATCAGCAGATCTAAAGCCAAGGAAAAATTGAGAATATAAATCAAGGTCCTTAAGATTCTTTGATAAATCAGGTGGAATGAGTCCGAGCCGTTCTTACCAAAAATCAAAAAAAAGGAAAAGGACCAATTCAATATTCAGGTGAGTCTGATGTGAAGGGCCAATTTGACCCAATTACGGGGACATCCAATCCAGGTCCTAGTTTGGACCTCTTACTCAGTATGAGACCTGACTTGGTTAGGCAATCCAATGAAGTGTCAAATACGGAGGCTTCGGTACCATTTCAAGTTGCTCTGTTTTCTATGCCGTTTTGGAAGAAACATCCTTTCCGTAGAAAGATCGTCTTAGAAACAAGAATTTAGGAGAAGCACCGTTGGCTGTTCTAATTCGAAGTCCAGGGTGGGAGAAAAGGGGACCACACGGAGTTAAAAGGGAGGAGAGGATAAGGAAAGTAGCATTCGGAGATCAAGATTTTGGGATAGGAGAGCTAGCTTAAAGCTCCTTCGAAAGGTGTCAAATTGAGTTTTATAAGGTTTGAGAGGACTTTTGGAATCGTTGCTGAAAGTCAATGTTTGTATTGGTGATTTGGATTTTTTTTGTAATAAAGTTAAGGTTGGTATTCTTGACTATTTTGTGAAATTGAAGAAACTTTTGCAGTTGAAATTTAGAGGTATCTAGAGGGTTGAGTATGCCGAGTGCATACAAAAGTTTGTGTTAATCTGATAGAACAGCTAGAGGATATTTGACCATTAATGTAAAGAGATATCGAAAGTTAGCAGATTGGGGTTGTTTGGAGTTTCTGTAATATTGTGGAGATCTACCAACTAGAATAAGGTGACTTTTGGCGTGGTAAGTCGAGGACTTCTAGGCGGCGGTCAAGATACATCAGTATGGATTTATGGCATTTTCTTGCAATTTGTAAGTTAGATTGGATTGAAACTTCTTGAGCATTTAGAAGGCTTGCAAAGACACTAGTGGTAGAAGTTTACAACAATCGGACAGTCAGATTGAGAATTACAGCTTGCTGAAGCTCGTGGTCTAAGGTTAGGGTTAAAAATAAAATAAAATAAATATAAAATAAAATAAAAAATAAAAACTAACAAATAATAAAAGACTTTGTACTTGTAATATCTTGAAGTTATTAAAAATAGTGTTTTAAGTACTTTGTATTGGAATTAAGTATTTACATTGAAATCCAAAATAGTTTGTATTTAAATGGTTGAAATCCACTAGCCTACCCGGATACTTGAAAAACATTGTTTTATCTTCCACAGTCAGACGCTTGGTATGTTTTTAAGTAAGATAGCATGTAATACGACATCATATTACGTGGCATTTACCTTGAGAATGCATTGAGCACCTGGCTGTGGAAGATAAAGGAAAAATTACAACAACAAATAATTAGTAATAGTAATTATTTTTGGTAACAATAACCTCTAGCAACAACCAATAATCAATAACAGTAATCTATAACCAATTTCCTGTAGTAATAACTAATATTCAATAGCAAAAACCAATATCGAGTAGCAAAAACCAATATTCAATAACAAAAACCAATATCCAGTAGCAATAATTAATATCTAGTAGCAATAATCAATATCCAATAGCAATAACCAAAATCTAGTAGCAAAAACCAACATTTAGTAGCAATAACCAATATCCTGTAGCAATAATTAATATCCAATAGCAATAACCAATTTTCAATAGTAATGACCAATCTCTAGTAGCAATATATAATATCCAGTAACAAAACCAATATTCAGTAGCAAAAACCAATATTTAGTAGAAATAACCAATATCTAGTAGCAATAACCAATTTTCAATAGCAATAACCAATATCCAATAGGAATAATCAATATTCAGTAACAAAAATCAATGTTCAGTAGTAAAAACCAATATCTGGTAGCAATAACCAATAATCAATAATAAAAACCAATATCCAGTAGCAATAACTAATATTCAGTAGTAATAACCAATTTTCAGTAGCAATAACCAATATCTAGTAGTAATAACCAATATCTAGTAGCAATAACCAATTTTCAGTACCAAAAATCAATATCCAATAGTAATAATCAATAGCAAAAATCTAATCTCTCGTAGTAATAACTAATATCCTTCAAATTTACTAAATTTTAGTACTCAATTTCTTCCAATCTAACTTTTGAATTGAGCTCAAAATTTGTGAGGAGCAAGATAATATTCTTAACTTCAAATGGATGATAACACAATAATGTGCTCATGTAAGGGTCGGCCTTCTTCTCCAATTTGAATATGGAATTTCGAGCACCAATTTCTTCTTATCAAACTATTCAATCAATCTCAAAATTCTCACATACAAAGGAAAACAAGTCCACTACACAAATACATAACTTCTACTCCAATCCAACTAGTAGATTGTAAGAAATTTTAAAACCCTCGCTTGACCTAAAATTCTACTTTTTGAGACCTTAATCTACTTAAACCTCAATAATCCTCAATTCAACCATTAGATCTAGCTAAATATGACAACATATATTAAGCACAAATATAATCATTAATCTATAAAATTTCATCCATAGATCTATTACAAAACTCTTGAAATTGTCCAAAACATCAATCCTATTTTATTTCACAAACTCCAAGTCAATTGAAAACAAACTTGACTTTGCAAAATTCTTACTAAGTCATTACAAATCCAAATCATACAAAAATAATGCCCATAAAAACCTTATCTAATCTACTTTCAAATTCCAATTTTCAATCTGCAAAATAACCTTAGAATCATCATTGAGGCTTGGTTTTGTGCCTCGGGGTTTGATTTCGACCCTGATTCATAACATGCCCTCTTTGGATATCAATATCTAATTTCTACATAAATTTGAATAGAATTTATTCTTAACTTCTTCTTAAAGATACTAATATCATTTATTCTTCTAATCTACCTTATTTTGTCTTATTTATGGCCCAACAAATAAGTAGAAGGATATTTTATAAAAGATAATACTGATACCTATTAGTTTTACTATCCCTTCGACTTTTAACTTTATCTCTAAGATAATTTGTTCTAATACTTTGAACTAAAATCTACTATATTATAATTATTTCAACACTCTTTCATATATTAGTCATGTTACATCATGACATCTACTCTCCTTGAATCTGTGCATCTTTTGGCATAAGCTAATGATTCTTCAATATGTTGATGTAGAATGCTCTTCATCTCGGTCTAATTCTTAATCTTCAATATGCTCTTTTATTCCAATCTCAATATCTTATATTGGAATTTGTCCTTCATTAAAAAAAATGTCTTCATCTCTTTGTTTAAATAACTTGATTCGCTTGCTTGCTATAAGTACCTTCAATTCTGTACCATCTAATTCTTGTAACATGTATGTTCTATTGTTATATGCCCTTTTTACAATATAAGGCCCAAACCATCTCTTTGCAAACTTCTTTGTAGTACTATGTTGATTGTTCAAGGTACTATCATAAACTAATATCCAATCACCATCTTCAATTGCCTTGGGTCGTAGTCGATATTTTTTATCAAATCTTTTTTTATTCATTTCCCTTACTTCTTTCAATTTTTCTATTACTACTTTAATATCATTAGGTCTTCTTTCTAATTGTTGAATCTGAAATGCTAAAAGTTCTTCTCTATTGAGATCATTCTTCTAAGGTAATATACCCCTTGTAGGTACTACATCTTCTATTGGCATTATTGATTTTTGCCCATATATTAATTCAGAGGGTATATAACATGTTCCCATTCCTGATGTTGATCATCAAGATCATCAATATACAGGAACGTTGGTAGAAAAGGAACAGTATCTGTTTTACCATGCTTTACAACTTTCGCTCTCTCTATTCACGATGGCGGGAAATCTGGGCGTCATGTTAGCGTCTCTTTCTCGTTTAGAACGCTAAGACCAGCGCATCCCTTCGTCCTGGAATATCGGGCCGGGTGCGACCCGCAATGACCGCTTGCCATTCACACTTGTCAGTGCCGACCTGACGCCGCAAAAATGATGCATGCACGTCCCAGCCAATGGACCCTGTTGAAGTCGGGAACATGAAGAACGTGAGCATGGGAACGAGGTCCGAGGAAAGAGTCGTGTGCCTCGCAACACCTCATCAGGGAACCCTACTACTCGCTACTTTCTACTAGAGCCAAGCTTAGCTCGACGATGCGTTGATGATGATGCACTGACAGTGTTGCAGATTCTCCTCCTCCTCCACCTCGCTGGTCCGGCTTTCGCCATAGCCATCTCTGCCACTCTGGGACCATGCTAGAGTCGAAGCGCCTTGTGCGGTGCTTAATTTGAAGATCTGTTACGGGGGGGGGGGGGGGGGGGGGGGTGTGTGAATTGGATCGCGCAGTATTATGTCTACAGGGGAGTGCCGAAGCTGCCAGGAGGATTTCACTTCTAAGGTTAGCGGATGAGCGTGCCTTTTATTAGCTCGTTGCTGGAATTGGTGGGTGCGGCTTTCGTCTCGGCTGTCTCTCGTCTCTGTCGTTGTTGGCCTTGTTGAATTCATATCTGTGTTCGTCGAGTGTGTGACTATTGGCATTGTTCGATGCTCGGGGAATTGATGTTGTGTTAGTTATTTGCAGTTTTTTTCTTGGTTTCGTTGTCACTGGTTTCAAGCAAGATTTTGGGTTTTATGAACTAGTAGAAGAAGTTGCTGCTGGTAGTTCTGAAGAAGGTTTTGCGCACTCGTGGTTACTCTCTGTTCTGGAGCATATGATTTAGGACTTTGAGGCTTTGGAGGAACAAAAGAATTCTTGAATTTTGTAGAATACTGGGTGGAATTATTCGATGGGAGTGCCATATGATTTTATTCTGCGCGTACGATTGCACCATTGATGTAGCGTGAACTGGAACAGCGAGGCTTATTTTAGATTTTTCTTATGGATTCTCAGATTTTAAATTACAACTTCGCACCACAGCTACTGGTAATCTCAGTTTAGGTTGGAGTTGTAGAAAATTTTAGAGATGTGCTGTGGCGACGAATTGACTTGTTGATCATCACATGCAGAGTTGGGAAATTAATGTTCCGTTGAACATCTTATATCCATGATGTACGAGGACTGGTCGTGCAAGTTTGCCTCAGTTTGGTTGTCCAGATGACCGTTAAGTATCATCTTCTTCACCTAGATTCTACACCGATGAGTCTAATCAATTTTATTTATTTATATGTATTTCTCTTCCGATCAAAAATGAACAATTAGCTTGATTCCGTCGTTCTTAATGTCGGATGGACGTGTTTGCACAATAGCTAATCCTGCTGTGGCAATAATTCGACTGTACGACTAGGAGCTTGGAGATAACAATGAGAAGTACACATAAGAACAGCACTTCTTTTTTTTCCCTCGATACTTAAATCTGTAGTAGCCAATAACGCTAGCGCTTCTTTCTTGTAATCACGACCAGAGCATCATCTTTTTCGATATTTGTTGCTGAATGTGTAGCATTGCAGTGTACGTAGCTTTCTTCATACTAAATTTTCTTGCTCACATGCTCGATTAGATTGGAACTTTGCTCAAGTGAGAAACTACCACAAGGTTTCATGATGGTTTACTAGAACCGAGAGCCGTTTCACCTTGTAGGACGGACTGGCCATGATCTTGCACTCCTAATACTTATGTAGTACATTTTGAAATATGGAGTCTATGGGAGTTTGAGGACGTCGTCGTCGCTTTGTGTACTAGTTTTGGGCTGAAATCCTCTTACTTTGATTCCACAGGGAGGGACCGGCAAATTCATTTTCTTTTTTCATCAGGGGCATGACTGTCTTCCAGTGACTCACTTCGGTGCTCGACGACTTGTTGAATAAAGCTCCCTTCTGTAGAAGTCTCCTAACCCTCTCCCCTGGGATAGGCGATTGGCGGTTGTGTAGCTGTTGGGCTTATAGAAATGGACGTTCTCTGCATTCCTGATCAGACTGATCGTGCAAATCCATACACCATCTCGCTCAACCCTGCAACCAGCATTCCTTTGACAGACTTGCGGCTAGGGAAGCAGCTTGACGACTCTGAAAGCGCACTTGTATAGCTCAACTCACCGAAGTTATACAACCCCGGTTTCATTTGTAAATCACGTTTTTGACGAAGGGGGAATTTAGTTTCTGGAAAAAATGGGCTCGAGCGCACTTTCCGAGATTGGCACCCTCATATCGAATCATCCATATGTTTCCTGCAGTCTACTAGTGTTTCTCACACCTCCGTTTTTCCCAATCCTTAAGTTCTTCTCGCCTTTATTGATATCGACAGCCTTGTTCTTTTTGGCGTTAGTGACAATGGGACCTCATTTTGAAGACCAATCGGATCAGGAGGGCGACCTTCAGAGGTCATTGGAAGATAAGACCGGACATGAATCTATCTTGGGTACCAGAACAGAATCTGGAGAGAGGGACATTAAGAGAAAGACACCCAGTAAGGATTTTCGTTCTACTATAGCCGATTGGGCGAAATCTTGTAAAGATTCTGGGCTGACGTGGGTGGAAGAAAAGTTGCGGAACGAGAATTGGAGGGGAGCATCTTTAAATGATGACAATGTTTCCATTCTGCAGGAAGCATTTGCTCACAGAGCTGAGGAGCAGCCACGTGCAATGGTGAAGCTTGCAACTAGGAGGATTCCAGCGGAGGAGGAGAGGGTTGCTGAGCAGCATTCCCTTCAAAGGCAAGTGATTCATGAAATACCAAACTTGGATTCTCGGAGGTCCTCGCGCTCTGTTAGCGACGGAGGCTTCGAAAGGCCTCCTTCCTTCACTACAAGGACCGCTGCTCGAGAACTCCCCCACGACTTTTTTTCACCTCATCCGAGTTTCTCCAGAAGACCCGACTCTGACGTTTTGTTTAAGAATGGAATATCTACCCCCACCGAACATGATATGCCACCACTTGTAAACGGCCCTGCGGAGGTCACTGCTCCTCTTTACGATTCATTTGAAGATGACATGGACACAAGTGACGATGAGTATGGTCACTACCACGCTCGGCATGATGAAGACATGCACCTCGAGGTTGGAGAGAGATCATCGGATCCAGAACACATCTCTCGGGAGGAGTTACCGGCGGCCAACGCTACTCGTGACCATCTACTTCCATTCACGGTGATAGAAGAAGATTTGCCTTCCTCCAGTGATAGTGATGAGGAACTTATCCTTTTTACTGGCTTGCATCATAGAAATGGAGCCATGGAGCCACCTGTTCCAATAATACATGATGTAGTTCATGATCGTGACATGAACTTGCATGACCAGCAGACAGCACATGTTACAGGAACTCATGCAGAAATTGCTCCACATGATGATGATGATGCTGAAGAGCACGCGCCTCCAGCTGAGCTTGAAGCACTACCTGTTCCAGCACCGAATACTCATCATGAAGACCACCCTTTGCCAGCAGCCGCTCATGAGAAAACCTCACTGCCTAGCGGAGATGTGGAATTGCATGACATACCGGAGTTGGAGGATATACTACCAGTGGAGGGCAATAGTCGTGAACTTCCTCCCACAGTAGCCGAGAGTACAGAGTCTATACCTCGTGACCTTCATGTCGCAGACAAAGGGGTTGGTGAATTTCCTGCTGGTCATAATGAGCCTGATATTTCAAATGTTCCTAAAGACCACGTTACCATCAGTGAGGAATTTTACGCTAAATCCGAGGCGCACGTTCTTAATGCAGATGCTTCTGTGGAGCCACCGCATTTTGTTGAGAGATCATTGTCACTTCCAGTTATGGGAAGCCTTGCAGATACCGGTAGTATAGAGTCAGCCCCAGCTCACGAGGATCTCCCTCCATTGGACGAACCACTTCCTGACAAGTTTCAAGAGCCAGCAAACTCATCTGTCGCCTTGAATCATGCGATCTCACTTCCAGCTGCCATGAAACCGATTCACCCGATTGTCATACCACCAAAGACCCTTGATGAGGGACCTAGGAGTCCTGATACAGATTTAGGGTATGCCACTACTCCTGATCATGAAAGGCGAGGCCTGGCTAGGCGAGGTTTCTTCGCACCTGAACGATACAATTCCATCACTTCCGCCAGCGGGGACGAGCTTGAGCATGGACCGCCAGTGAAGCAACTATCTACGAAGGAGAAGATAGAGCAGAAGCTCGAGGCTTTATGCAATTCCATTCCTCGTGATTCTACTTCTCGTTCAGCGGATATATCATTATTGAGGGCAACAACTGATGAGCAAGTTATTCATGTAGCAGACAAGATGAAGAGTTTTGTCGAGGATAGCCCATCCAGAAAATTTCAACCTGATGCCCCACAACTTAAAATCACGCCACCGTCAACGAAAGTTCCGCTGAACGCATCACTTAGCAAATCTGCAATCTTAATTTCTGCTCTCGGGAGGCCATCTATACGGACTTCCAGGTACGCAAGTGCAGGAGAATCCAGTGAAAGTTCCGATGGAGACGAACAGATAGATTTAGACTCTGATGTCGGCTCAGAGACAGATTCCGACGTAGAGATTACTGGATACGGGAAACCTGGAACGCGCCTTAAGGCCCCTCCCAGGCTATCTCCCAAGCCGTCTCCAAAGCCGCGTGCAGCATAACCTGTGGTGGCAAGTTACTTAGCCGACCGATAGAGAACTTGTAAAATTGATATAAAATTATCTCTTGCATCTCAGTAAGCCTTAGTTCCTTTGTTCCGTAAGGAATCCAAACCAACGACAGCTGCCGTGAACCCCCACTTCTATTCCCAGCTCTTGAAATATCAAGGTGGTATACCTACTTTGAGCCTTGACTGTACTTCAGAAACATACTCCTGCACTGATAGCTTTGTATTACCATACTGACGATTACCTTGATTTCAATGACAAAGACCGAGCAGCCTTTGGTGACTATTTCCCATCCAATTCTGGTATGTCCACCTTCTCTGTACTGCACCTCTCGTTTTTATGTTTAAAGCAATGTCATGTTCTAGTTGAGTTTTGCAGCCTGGCTATATATAGGCTAGTGCGACACTTGACTTCTAGTATTTAATTTCACAGTAGTCGTCAGAGTCTGTTATTTACGTCAAAGAGATTTGGCTTGGAGAAACGTATTGCTCGATCTTTGCCAGCCGTAAGAGAAGAGGTTGTTCACAGCAGGCATGCATTTAAGATAACCTACCCATTGAAACCTGATTTCGCTGAGTGGCTCAGCCACGTCGTCTTCCCATGTTGGTGCCTGGATATTGTTGACCATGAAGGTGTCGAGTGCAACGATTGAGGTAACGCGTGGGCACATTCTGCCACACAAATCGTGTAAATTGAGGTTCATATCTACTGAAAATGAAAATCAGCAGTGACTGGATGAACGTGGTAATATCAAAACACTGTTCGAGTTGCTCCCATCTACTCTCTTTCGACTTTTGGTGAATCAGGTTAGGCTTTACAGATCAGAACCTTAAGTGGGCGTGCCATCACAGCTTTGCCATGGTGTCCCTGAAGTCACATGCCCTTGCCTATTCCCAGAAATAACAATTTTCACCAGATGCAGATCAATTGCCGTTCTCCACGAGTTTGTTCGATCCTTCCCATTTGTGGGAGATGTTTTTCAGATTCAAGTTCCGTTTTATGAATGGTGAAAGAAAGCTCCAAATTTGGTTTGTGGGTTCTGAAGGTTCGGGAAATGTCTTATTTTCATGCTGATCAACGATGATGCATTTTACTGCTATAACTGATGGAAAGTGTGGATTGCTAATGGCAAATATTTTGCAGATTCAGAGTGCATCTGCAATAGCAATAGCATACAATTCCAAATACTACTATTTTTGATGATTAGAAAAAAAGAAATAAAGAAAAAAAAAAAGTTTGTATTATTGATAAAAGATCTATAAATCTAGAAAATAATATAGAATAATATAGGATTAATAATTTATATTTTATTTTTTTTAAATAATAAGAATTAGTGCACTATAAGCAAAAACACTTTAAGCATGTATGTATGTATGTGTGTATATATATATATATATATATATATTCTACTTGTATATTTTTTAAGACAATTTAAATATTAAAGTTGCCTTAAATCATAGATTTTATGCTGTAATAATTTATTGTTAAAAAGACTAATCTAAAACCTGTTGATCTAAATTTGGTGGTTCTGTTGATCTAAATTCTGTTGATCTAAATTTGAACAATTAATAAAAGCATTGACAAGTTTTTTTTAGAAACTAAAAACATCTACATCTTTATTAAGTACATTCCTATCTTAGAAGATGAAGATTTTGTATCTAGATCATCAGGAACAATTGCAATTCTATAAAGATGGAATGTTTGTATGAAACAAAGACTTATTGAACTTTCCGAGTTTCTATAAGTATAAGCTTAAGTGAGGGAATTGAAAAATATGTAATGCTCTACAATTGAATGAATGTTTTATAACTATTGGCACATTCATTTATCATTCAACACTTTCATCTATTAAGATTAGGATTTTATAATTGTATTGTAGTCATCTAAGAGTTAGAATTTCATCAATTTATAATAGATGAACTTATCTAATTAACCTCTCATTTCAAATATATCAATTTCAAGCACAATATTCTTAATTCAATATAAAATTATAAATATAGTGCTCAAGTGTTACAAACATATATATTTACTCTAATAATTATCCAAATAATTTGAATATGTAGAAATATGTAAAAGTAGATAAATTTGATAATATCTTATAAAATATCTTCTTAGAAGCTTCATAGACGTGGCTGAAATGGTCTACAAATCAAATTGCTACAACATTAGCAGCAATATATAATTAGAATATTCATCATATGGTTGTAAAAATTATTTCTTTAAATAGTCTTCTTAGGATTTCAGAACATAATAAAATTGAAAGACTTTATTTTATCAAGGAATGAAAGACTTGTTTGAAAACTTAAAAAGTCAATCTATAGGCTTAAACAATCATCAAGAGTATAGTATGAAAGAACATATAATATATTAAGAAACATATATATGATAAAAAATAATTTGAATGCTAATATGTATTATATGCACAAAGAAGGTGATATAGTTATTCTTATGCTCTATATTCATGAATTATTTGTTGCTCAAAGTAATAGTAGCTTTATTACTTAGTTGAAAAATTACCTTCAAAATATCTTTGATATGATTAATCTTAGAATAATTAAATAATATTTAGAAGTTGACTTTGACAAAATAATAGAAGATATCTTTCAAGAATAAAAACTTGATGAAAGCAAATAAACAAGTAAGACTTTTTTAAAGAAGTATAACAAAATAGAAATAAAATTGGAATGACTATTGCTAAATGACAAGGAAACTAGAGACTCTTAAAATTAGATTAGAAGCAAGAAAGGAATTGATAAAAGTGAAGAATGCTTCACTTTTTCTCTATATATATTGTCTACTTAGGAGTTACGTGGCAACATTCTATAGGACCTCCAAAATACATCACATATCTTGATTTGCAAGGCAAGTTTTTTGTATGGGCACCATATAATTAATTTACTTTGTAAGCTACCAATACATATGGTGTGATTAACTTGTTAATCAAGTTTTTAACCTACCAATCAACTACAAATACATGTAAAATCAAAGCAACATTAATAAAGCTTTTAGAAAGCTTTTGTAAAAGATATTATAAAATTAATATATTTTTATCTATTTCTATCTATTCATATTACTTAGATAAAATTTATAATAAATATATGTCTATGACATTACCTCTTCTTCTAAGAATAAGTTCTACAAGGAATAGTGATTACATGTCAAAGAATTCTAAGATATGGCAAATTCTATTTGCTACATATTTTTATCTTAGTATCCTTCAAAGGAAATTAATAAGTCCTCTCAATCATTTGTAATGTTCTATTCTAGGGCACAAAGACCATTATATTATTTGATGATTATTGAGACCTTTGTAACTTCCTTCATACAAAATATTTCTAATACAATTAAGAGATGTTCATATCTCTAATAAATTCACCAAACATCAAGACTTTCTTTCCATATTATGATACCAAACGCGTTATATCTTGCCATCTAATCAAAGAACATGTCACTCTTGAAGGTCTTCATCCCTATTACATCCTCTTGAAGACTGTAATAATTCCAATATCTCATCTAGTAAATCAACAAATAATGGCTCTTAAATTGAATTTAGTAGCTGTTGATTCTCCACTCGTTCAATCTCACAATTATACAAAAATTACAAACAAAGATAGAAGGTAGAATGCAATCTTTTTTAAATTGTACTTCTTTTATATCAGAGGTTTATTATCCTTCAACTTGGTTTTAATGGATGTTGTTGATGAAAATCTTTGACCTTTTCTATAATATTTGTAAGATTTTTTGTTGGCTTTCATATACATTTACTAATATTATATCTGTGCTAATGAATAAGCTATTTCAACTTAAATCAATTACGCGTGAAATCTAATACTTCTTTTACCTCAAATTCTTCATTATTATCTACTTCTATATGAAGTAGTGGTATTTGTCTTCTTCTTGGAATATTCACTATCTTATATGGCTCCAAAAGACACACATGAAATACAAGATGGATTTTCATAGACTCTAGTAGATGTAATCAATAAGTGATTAGATTGACTTTTTTTCAAATAAAAAATGGTTTAAGTATACAATAATCCAACTTGTCACTAGAGAAAATAATTTTAATATTATGATAAAATAACCATATCTTATCACCAACTTGGAAATGAGGTTGTTACTTGCAATAAGCATCCGCATTGTTTTTTTTGTTGTTCTTGAGTTTCTTTTAATTATGCCTTTATTGTTATATGTAACTCAAATAAATGATTAATCAAATATTTTTTCATAAGATTATCAACTTTTAAAAGTCAAAAATATCAAATTGTGGATGATAATTATAATTAATAAAAAAAGTTGTTTGTTGCATAGAAGAATATATTATTTTATTATAAGCAAACTCTACCAATGGCAAAAGAATTATTCAATCATCTTCTTAGTAATTGATGATATATCTCAAATGTTGCTCCAAAATTTGATTTATATATTATGTTTGTCGATGAATCTCAAGATAGAAAGTCAAAGATAGTTTTATATCTTCTTTTAGAATATTTAAAAGGATTTCCTAAAATCTTAATACAAATTAAGTTCTCATATCCGATATAATATTCCTAGGCAATCCATGATAGTAATAGACGTTGTTAAGAAAAAACTTGGTTGTTTCTTCATTTGTGATAGATTTTGTATATGGTACAAAATGTACCATCTTGGTAAAATGATCTATTATCACAAATATAGACACATAAGAATCTGAGATTGAAAGATCCATGATAAAATCTATAGAAACTAAACACTTTGGTTATTCTCAAATAGATAATGGGTGAAGAAGTCTATAAGATTGATGAAGATTTTTTGATTTTGAGCTAATATCACAGGATTGTATAAAATCTTTGACCATCTTCTATATTTGGAGCCACCAAAAATCCTTGGATATTAATTCTTAAGTCTTATTATATCCAAAATGTCTTGTTGTTAGAAAGTTATGAAAAGCTTGAAGAAGACATAACCAAGTTTCATCTTTTAGAATATATAAGTACCTCTCAAAATATAATAGATTTTTTAAAAATTCAAATTTGGAAGTACCATTAGACTTTAAAGGATTTTTCTTAATATCACGAATAAGATGATCAAAAGGCATAATTGATTGAACTTATTTAAAAAAAGTTGAATCATCAGTTAATATTGATTTCATTGCTCAAAGATGAAGAGGCTCTAGCTTCAAGAAAATTACTCATTATTGATCAAAAGTAGCATCTCCTTCCTATGATGCAAGGTAAAATCATTTAGAAAGTGCATCTGATAAATTTTATTATTTTTTTGATTAATAAATGACTTTGAATTTGAATCTTAATAAGCACATACTTTAGTTGGCTTAGCAATGATTCAAAATATGTATTGACATAAAATATTTAAGATTCTAATGATTTGTATATACAATGACTTAATTAAAAAAATCTTCTAAATAATAATGTTATTTTTGAAAAAAATCCATGATTGTAATGAATTCTTTTTCATGGATCTCCTAGTTGCTCTCAACTGCTGAAAAAAATTAGAATGAAAAGCTATTAGATGAAATTCATCATTTATTTCTATTTATGACAATACAAAACCAAAAGTAAAATCTGATGCATTTATTTCCAAAAAAAAATGGCTTAAAAAAATCAAGGTGATACAAGATTAGTAAAAAAACAAAGACTTTTTTCAAAGCTTCAAATGTTGCTTCCACTTCTTGATTCTATTGAAGTTTGTCTTTACAAATAAAACATATAAATAGAGCTGTAACTTGAAAAAAGTTTATAATGAAGATCCAATAGTAGTTGGCAAATTCCAAAAAATATTGAACATCTTTTATTATTTTAAAGAACTTCCAATCTATAATAGTTTGAACTTTCTTAGGATCTATTATAAGTCTATCATTTAAAATAATATATTCTAAGCAGTTGAATTGAATAATGTGAAATATAAACTTTTCTATATTGGCATAGAATTTTACATTTCTTAGTTTTTGTAATACACAACAAATATGAAGTTTATATTTTTCTATGTTCTTAGAATAGATTAAGATATCATTTAGATAATAGATAATAAAATCATCTAAAAACTTTCAAAACACATCATTCATTAAATGTTAAAAGGTTGCTAATATATTTGTACGTCCAAAAAGTATGACATTATATTCATAATATTTGTACTTGGTTTGAAATGTAGTCTTCCATTCATTTCTTTTTTTGATGTATACTAGATTGTATGCCTCTTATAGATCTATTTTTGTATAAATCTTAGCTTGATTCAATTGATCAAGAAGTCTAGATATCAAAGGTAGTGGACACTTATTCTTCATAGCAATCTTGTTGACTCTTCAATAATCAATACACATCTGCAATGATCTATCTTTTTTCTTCAAAAATAAAATTGGAGCTCCTATTAAAACTTTAGAATGGAGTTAATCAAGAAAAGATAAAGCTTTGATGTTATAATTATATTCTTATAAATCTATCAAGGACAAAAATTTGATGAAAGCAATAAATAAGTGAGTTTCTTTCAAAAAAATATGAAAAAATAGAAATAGGAAAGTATGTATATTAAAAATAAAACTAGAATGGGTGTTGCCAAAAGATAAAGAAACTAGAGATTCTTGAAACTAAACTAAAAGCAAGAAAAGAATTGACAACAGTGAAAAAGACTTCACTCTCACCTCTATATATATTGTCTATCTAAGAGCTATGTGGCAACACTCTAAAAGACTTCTAAAATATATTGACTTTGCACAACACATATCTTAACTTATAAAGCAAGTTTTTTATATAGACACCACATAGTTAATTTTTTTTTGCAAGCTACCAATACGTATGGCATGTAGTTAATTTGTTGACCAAGTTTTTAATCTACTAATTAATTATAAGTACATGTAAAATCAAAGCAACCTTTATGAAGCTTCTAGGAATCTTTTTTAAAAAATATTATGATATTAATTTATTTTTATCTACTTCTATCTATTCATATTATCTAAGTAATAATTGTAATAAATATATGTCCATGACAATATCTTCATTCATCAAATTTAATATATACAAAGTATCTTAAAAAAAATTGAAATTTTAGAATATAAATCTTCAAAAATACCACAATTAGAAAAGTTAGTTTTAATCAATAATATGAATTTTATTTTATATGATGCAATTTTTTATTTAATTAATTAAAAAATCTATAATATTTACTATTATTAGACTTAATATTTTTATGCAATAAATAGAGTGAGAAATTTTATATCAAGTCCAAAAGAGACTAACTTACATGCAATAAAACATATTTTACATTATATTAAGCACATAATGGATTATGAGATATTTTATTTTTTAAAAAAAATATATATTATAATATGCACAAATACAAATTAAAGATCATATTTAAAAATACAATATTCAATAGGTGCATATATTTTTACAATAGAAAGAAGGCTTATTAGCTAGCAAAATATGCACCAGTTAACAATTTCAATTCACTCAAGTGAATTGAAATATCATACTCTCAAAAAAAAATCATTAAGAAGCTTATTTACTTACTCAAGTATGTTTTTGATGTAGTAGCAACGTCTTAGGAGAATGCATTGCTCATCACCATTTGCACTTGCCATTGTTGATTGCCTCCAATAATCTTTCTTCTAGTAGTGCAATCTTAAAGTATAGGCTATTGTGCTTATTTAAAAACTTACTCATCACCACCCCTACCAACTTCTTTGACACTACCTTTATAAATGCCTTTAATAACCAACAATCAACATTGACTATGACTAGCAACAGATTTATACCATAACACTACCAAAATCCCACTACACTAAAATAATCCAAATTAATCTGCAAATGACATTCCAATTTGCAGCAATCAATTTATGACTATCTTACAATGTGGATTTTGACACCACATCTACTAGTGGTCTTATATGAAGGTTAAGTGAAGATTACCCTAAAAGAGTCACAACCTTTAGGTTGTCATAAAATTGCAAGTTATTGCCTTCTAGGATAAAGTAAGTTGTATTACAAATGAATCCAATAAGCTTGTTGTTGTGGAATACTATATATCCCATGTTGTGTTCTCCATCCATTACTACTAGATGCATGAACAAATACTTTAGAACCTTAGAGAGTTGTATAATAAGTCCCATGAACAAAGCATTACAACAACAAGCAAGCACCATGTTTTCATCTTAATTGTAAGTTGATTCAGCAACAACAAGAATAACAACTTGAGTTCATCACAATTGCATGCTAATTCAACAACATCAAAACAGGGTTTTAAACCATAGTATAAGATCCAAAGTCTTCTGTGGCTCACAACTCCAAATTTGAATTCCTCCTGTAATTCAACAATGTTTACTCAATCACTTAGTTCAACAATACCAAATTCATTTCTCTCTTGTTCACTTAATATTAACACATGATAAGAAGTACAATAGTGGTACAATTTAGACAACATGGACAACATTCCAAATGATTTGAATGATGATTGCAAGAGTACTACCTATGTACATACTCAAGACTAAATCTAAGAGAGGGTGTTGGCACATTCATCTATTACTTGCAATCTTCATCCATTAGGGTTAAGAAACTATGATTGCAATGCAATCATTTAGGAGCTAGGATTTCATCATTCTATGATGCATTAACTTATCTAATTAACCCCTCATCTTGAATACACATATTTTAAGCATTGTACCCTTTATTCAATATAAAATTGTAAATACAGTGCCAGAGAGAGCACAGGTTTAATGTTAACACTAAGGTCGCCCAGACTGAGTTGTTAGTTTTATCAATCCTGTTGTAGCGGATATTAGATTGATCACGGTGTGGTCACCACGAGGATTATTGTCGATGTAAAGTCCAGGGATGTGGAACGGGATGTGGAACGACAACTATTTTATTGTGGGAAGGATCGGCGGGAGATGAGGCGTTAGATGAGTCGGAGGTTTGCTCTCGGGAATGCAAGTTCCTTTTTTGTCGAGGATTTTCGTTGGAACGAATTCCTTTAGAATTCGACGTGGAAGCCCAAGTTTGCAAGTCGCAAGCACTTTTTGAGAGCGTGTTGTAAGTGCTACTTCTGTCGAGCGGCAGAACATTGGCCGACAACTTCACTCATGCACGTAGTATGTATTCATGTCTACAGTGTGATATGTGCACTGGAATGGTGCTTGTAGTGCCAATCAGTGTGATGTGTCAAGGCATCTCCGTCTGGGGTATGTGATTGAGAATATTGTTTCTATCGGCGAAGAAAAGAACTACACTCAACCATGCATCCTGTCAATTACACCGTGAAATTGAAGTATCCTATTCAGGTGAGGTAGTGTCCCCATTTGAAAATGTCATAAACTGTTGTTGAAGCCCTTGCAGTGCTTGTGTTCCAAGAACGTCTGCGGTGACATTGCAAAATAATATCGTTCTTACGTGCCGCTCAAAATATTTCTCGATTTTAGCTGCTGCTACTTCTGGTTATTCATTCGTACTTACGGAGAGGAATAATGATGTAGCTTATGTCTCGTGGTCGAACGATGTTTGCTGATGTTTGACACAGCTTCTACGGAGGCCCTTGCAGTTTTGCGAGAACCGAGCGTGCTAAAGGAAGATTTAAAGAGTGAAGACTAACTGAAGCAGATATTCAGAGGAGCGAGAGGCAACAGAAACCGATGTGCTTCTATTTCACACGGGGGTTGAGCACACTGGTACTCCACCTGTCTTCCAGCTAGTCATTTCATTTGTGTCTTTTGGAACTTATTTTGGCACGTCCTCGGATCTCCTTCCTCTTAAAATAAAACTGTAAATCCTACACCTCGTGCCCCTTATAGTCATTGTGCTAAGACTGATGCAGAATAATTCCGACACATCCAAACCTTGTTTAAGAAACCCCTGAAATTAAGCGGCGCTGCTGAAACAAGGTATTGGAACCGCGGTTCAATGGTATGTACCGGGGATCAACACTGAGCTTGTAGAGAGTATAACATATGGCACTGTACAGATTATGTGATATGCTCAGAGCACTTGGGAGTTGTTTCGGAGTGGACGGTGGTTGTGGGGCACTGTTAGAAAGATTGTTCAAAATGATCGTGACCAAACACACTTCGCTAAGGTTTATGCATTCGGTCTGCGCCTTAGTGTTTGTGTGGTGTATACTGGATTTAACCGATCGGAAACTAACAAAGATGCATTGGTGCCTTTATTCAACGGTCTCTGTCAAGTTTGCCTGGAATTGTCATCAGAATGACGTACGTAGAGCTTTCTGCGCAGAAATTGGAACAAATGCTGAGATTCAAGTTGGTGTGCGTCGTAGGAGAATCGTACTGATTGAAATTAACAATGGTGCAAACAAAGGTGGAAGTCTATGCATTTACATCCAACTTAAAGGAGCACAAACCCTAAACCCTGGTCGTAAAAATCTGAGGCTGTAGTCACGTGATGTGAACCTAGTGACTGGATAGATCAAAGTTTAATGTAGTAGTCATTCTTTATGTCCCCAAATCATCCGTATAAAAATCTTTTGAAATGTCTTTCAAGGATTTGTTACAGTTCTAGCAACCCAGAGAAATTTGAACTTACTTAATCTGAGTTTAAGTGAGTGATTTTAATTACAGGCAATATCGGGATGTAAAAACCTGGACTTCTGAGCCATGACTTGATCATTAAACCGAGTCCAAATCTCATCCAGTGCATCTGCTTGAATGATGCCGACTTGAACTTCTGGAAGTTGCCATGGCCTCTGTAATTAACCTTTACGGTTTCAAATTGTCTGAGTCTTGGGACGAAGTAGAACCAGGACACGATAGCATTCTTATTTTTAGAATTGTATTATCACTGAAGAATCCGAGGAACCATTTGAGTGTCATAACCTCATTTCTATTTTGAGCTACTACGAAAGTTGTGCTCAGTTTGCAGGCTGGATAATACTCGCAGCATTGAAAAGAACTGTAGTGTCCACTGACTCCATTGACTAGACAATAACCACAACATTCCCCAAACACTGCACTGGATGATTGCATCCAATATTGCTCTCACATTCTTGGCGAAAAGAAAAGCTAAGAATATAAAATCTGTGAGACAGACATTCACACAACATTTAAAGAAGTAAATTGTTACAGTCTGTCCCTGTTACCACACCTCTACCTGTCTCTCTCGTGTCTCACTGGACTTATTCCGTTGTGCATTCATCATCAAGCATCTTCTGAAGAAATTTGAAAAACCCAGGAGCAATTATTTTGAAAGTCATAACCCCAGCAATAGCTTAGCGAAAAAGCTGCATAGGTTCTTGCATGGTCCATTCACTACTCGTCAAAGGACCTAGTGAGCTCAGAGGAAGAGAGCTTTGAGAATTCATCCGCCACCTCTACCGGGAAAAGCGGACTTTGTCAGATTTCCGCCAAGTGGCAAAGGACCATTCCACTTGACACGTGGATCTGTGTGATCTGAGTCCTCCTGCCTTCTTCCTACTAGCCCAGAAACATATGGGTGGGAGGAATGGGGAGAAAGTGTGGTGGAACTGCTGTGCTATGCTTGGACAAGAAGTGCTGAAGGATATCAACCGTGGAACAAGTGTACACAACAGCTTCCAGTTAAGCTAGTTGAAATCCTTTGTATCTTAACCTTTTATTTTCTAAGAAATTTTTGTTTTTCTTCTTGGTCCTTATCCTTTTTACTGTTCGCTAAATTTACACCACCTTTTATTATTTATTTCTTGGTTGTATAGCATGCTCTCACTTAAATTGCACCATCTTCTTGTTTCTCTGTGTGACTTGAGTTCCAGGCAGAAAGTAGGAGTATATCCTCTCGCACATTCATTTCTAAACCTTTCAATTCCTTTCTCTTTCTATGAGTGGCCGTGTGTTCATTCATTTTATGTCTTCAGGCTCTTTGATGTAATTTAAGTTGCATTTAAGAAGGTACTTATTAGCGTCAGATGCAGTAATACTGATTTTGTTTGGGAAAAGAATATTTGGGAGTGTGCAAATTTGTGGCATCGAGAACAATCAAATTGACTTAGAACTTTCACTCGAGATGGACGGGTTAAATTTTTTCATGAGATTTGCAAACATAGATGCAAATCATTCATGTTATTTTCCACAAAGTGCCAAAGCAGAGATGACCAGGATCATTCCAATGGAGACAATTCAGCAAGGGAAGAAAACACTCCAGGAGGTGATAACTGAAACTACAAAGCAGGGAGGTATTCAAATAGCACCACAATTTGATGGTTTCAATGTCTTTGAGATATTTGTTGGGTTGCCACAAGTCAAGGAGCAAGATGAATCAAAGACCAAACACCAGCAGAAGGAAGTTGTCCAAGTGGCACCACAATCTATGAGACAATAATCTAAGTGACTGTAGTGTCTTAGATTAAAAAAACAGAAAAAAAAAAAAAAAAAAAAAAAAAAGTGTATATAGGGTTTAGGGTTTATGTGTTATAGAAAGAGAAAACAGCATCCTTACACACACACACACACACATGAATATATTTATATATATATATATATATACATATGTATATTCAATTGCTTTGTTTAATATGAGTAAATCCAATGTTTGTTAATACAAGTATAATGCTTTCATGCTTGCACTAGATTAATGAGGATATGTCTATAAATGCAATGGTTGGGCATCTGCAAATAGCTGCACACTCATAACCTGTCAGGGTTTGTGACTAACTTTTTTATAATTTTAGCATCATATTGGCAGTATGGAAACATCTGCCAAAACAACAAATAAACAATAACGAAGAAGAAAAAGAGTTGTCTTTTTGATAAGCTTGGCATGGTTCTTAAGTTGCCTATCAATTCCCAGGTCTTCAACAGTAATTGCAGTCGCCCCCCCCCCCTCCATAAAAAGTTCCTCTGACATGAAAAACTTGTTCTCATTAAAAGGGTCGTCAGAGTGACAAAACCAGAGATCTGATTCTTATTGCATCCATGCACCATCCCTCTCAATCACTGTTTCATTCTTCTTAACTTCGTGATGGCTGGTCATGAAAGAAACCAAATCATTGAGGAATTACCTCGACCACTGCTGGCTTCCATGTATATTCTATTATGCTAATTTAACCATTTTGAGGCCACCGTGGAAGGACTGCATCCATAGTGCTGCGTTGGCGCATCAATTACAGCAGGCATCAGTTACAGCAAGATCATCATACTGTAATAAGGGCTCTGGCTTTTTTTTAGGGTATGGTTGGTCACCAATGATGCCAACATTAAGGAAAGCACTGGTCGGGTCCAGAAACGGAGCTATACAGCACATTCAGTCTAAGTTTATAGTACTAATCCATTTAGGGCTGGGTGCATTCGGTTGATGCGTCCACACCACCCAAGTCCTGCATTCACTGGCTGGGTGTACAGAGCGGTGCTTGGTGTCTTACACAGACAAGCACTCTCTTGATTAATGCAGGCTGTATTGATATAGATCTACGCTCCCCAGCACAGAGCATGTTGTCAATGACTTGGTATCACGCCATTTCTACTTGTCCTCAAAGGCCTACCTACACAACAGCTCCAAAAACTCTACAAGCCCCTTCCTGAAAGCAGTAGGCCGTTCTGAAACCTAATTCCCCAATGCTTAGCAGCCACCTGTCTCTGGGAAAACCATCATTCAAGTTTGGCATTGGTTTCAGGGAATGCTGTCCACATTGCTGGACAAAGACACACAGCAATGACGTTCGAGGATGTTTGAGGGTGGTGTTGCTACTCTCGTTGCGAAAAGTCTCCCAGCCCGGCTAGTCAGGTCGAAGGAGAAAGCAAGCGTGTGTAAGCAAATCTGGTGTGGTGGCGAGGGTTAGTGAAACCCTAGTTGGAAGCCACACGATCGCTCACACGCTGCCAACGGGGATTTGGTACCCTAAATGCACTTGCGCCATGGCCACAAGCTTCTCATTTCTGTTAGGAGACGGGATTTGACAAGTCAACAACTGCTTAAGAGTAGACCACCACCTCCCAAAAGCTAGGCAGCATTCAAAGACACGCTCAATGAATGAGAAAATTCCTCATGGGGAGAACAAAGGGCTACTACCACATGGGGGCGCGGATTGAATTGGCCCACCGTGGAATTAAATTTTCCCCTCCATGAAGCTGGCTCATTCAAATCGCGCGAGGAGGCGTCGTAGCGCCCTTGACCCTGTCATCCATCCGCGTTGCAGTGGATCCCACGGTTTCTACCACTTCGTAACCAATGGCTATACCCTCTACAACTGACGACGGCGAAGATCGCGACGTCTGCCGGGGGTTCAACATCTAACGGCAAAATATGGCGTAGAGTGACAGAACTCAACGGCAAAGCTCGCAACAAGATTGCCGTTGATGGAGTGTGGGTTGCGTAGGATTTGCTGTCGGATGTGGAATGGAAGACAGTGCTGTGTGGCTGGGTCGTTCGGTTGGCTTCATTCATCCACATTAGTCGTCCCTTTCCCCAAGAGCTCTCTGCATGCTGGATCAGGTATGATGACGGAAGAAGAAACGGTCGTTTGAATGGGCGAGTGAATTTTGGTTGAATTCTTCGAAATTTGGACGTTGGGGTGGGAGGGAGGTGGTGGGATTGTGACGTCGTGTTCTCGGGTGTCGGTTGAAAGTGTCATGCTCGGTGCAGCGGTGCCAGATTGTGAGTATGGAGAGTTCGGCAACTCAAGGCCTTCAAGAATAGGATCGCTGGAGCTGCGTGTTTCGGTGTTGAGTACGAGGGATTACACGTGAGCTGCATTAATCGGTGGCTTAGAGCCCAAGCTGATTAGAACTGGTTGCAGATTAGAATCGCGCCCGGGTTGTTCCTTCTTACTGAGGTGTCGTTCACGACGAAGTTGGGAATCGGCCCTCTTCGTCTGACGTTTGGTATATGCGTTTTCTCTCCCTTTTGCTGTCAGTGATAGAGACGGTGGAATCTGAGTCGAGGACGTGCCGAGTTGGAAATTGTAGCATACCCTCACCTCGCAGGTTTCTTGAAGGTTTGGAGTACGGCGATTTCGGAGGTCGTCTTATTTCATCGGCGGTCAGCTCGGCGAACACGGAAGTTGGGGCAGCCGCGTTGAGCGATGCGTTTGGATGACTTGGCTCTGTCACGCAACCTAAACGAAGAAACCTGGTAGTATGTGTCTTCGGGCATTGAGCATTTCAGTGCACAAGGGATCATTGCATCTTGAAGATCCGTGAAGACAGGTCTGAGAAAATGGGGAAAGAATCTGCAGCTCCGAAGCTGTCCGCCTCGAAAGGGGCGCAATCGCCGTCCCGCGAAATAGCTACAGAGATAGATAGCCGAGCTCCACTGTCTCCAATCCTGGTGAAGCCCCGTAACAATCTCCCAGCGCATCAACGACAGCAACACCAAGTGCACTTTCATCCGACTTCGCAGGTGTCAGGATTGAAGAAGAACACTCAGATTCCGCCATCGACCTCGCTCCGAATGGCCAATAGCGCTGATTACTTGGAAAACGTTACGACATCTTCGCCGAGAACCACGGAGCATAAGTTTGCAGCTCCTGCCACCCCGAAGAGCGCAGGCAAGAGGAGGTTCGGGTGGAGCAACACCCGGCAACATGAGGACCCTTTGCCTGGTAGCCTTTTATTTTCCTCTCTTTCTTACTTTACGGATTCTTCTCTTCGGACTCTCTCTCTCTCTGTCCCCTATCTTTATCGCTTCGTTAGCGAGTCGAGCCACGCGCTAGATTCTTCTGATCATTAGCCCCGCAGTGTTACAGTTGAGAGATCTGGTGATCAGTATAGAGACACATTTTGAATTCTTTTCGTGTAGCGGCCTCTACAAGTGTTCCGGAGCTCGTCAAATGCTCACCCGCGTACACAGCAACCAATGCTGGGAAGCGGGGTTTAGATTACGTTCCCGACTTTCTTCATGCATGAGTGTTTTTTCGGATCTGTCTCGTAGCTTTGTCGATCTGAGAAACCAGTGATCTAAGAGGTGCAGTTGTAAACTGCCGGAGACTCAGCGATCTTCGTGTTGGTTATCTCGATGAGTAGGAGCACTTCGAATTGGAAAAATTGTGAAATACTACCGTAGCTCTGTCTTGCGTCTTCTAGGCCTCCATCGCTACGTGTTCCAATCTGATCAACCTTAAACAGGTGGCTGCATTCAGATTGTGATAACTGAGACTGACGTTGTGCCGCGCCGATTCAAACAGTTCAAGAGAATCATTTTCGTGTGCGAGATGTTTGCCAGCCTCATGCACTCGTACACTGGATTTTTTGGCAGTGTCTTGGCGGCAAGCTGTCTCGCTACTAACTTGTAGACCTGCTATCGTCCTTCGGTCGAATTTACTTAAGTGCTACCAGTTCTATATCGCGAAGGTATGACAATAGATTCGTAGCAGCTATGGTTGAGATTTAACAGTTAGGGTCCCACCTGATCTTTGAAGTCCGAAAGGATCTTTGAAGATCAAATGACGATCCTAACTAAGAGTACCAGTTTGAGGAGTTTCAGGTACAATGGAACTGCATCTCCAGGTACATCTCCCGGTAAGCAGCCTTGGCGCGCTCTTCATCTATCACGCTTCCGTCCTCCCATCACTCTTTCTAGCCTCCTGGGATGCTATTGGTATTACGATGGTCGGGGGAATTTCCAGCGAGATATAGCATTCATATCATTAGATTTTTTGGTGTGAAGTGGAAGTCCAAGTGGCATGAGACCACCAGTTTGATAGAGGGGTCCATCGTGAATAGTTCTTGCTTCATGCCTCCGGAGCAGCACCAATTTGGAAGCCCTGATGTCCTTATTCACGCTATGGTGTCCGTCTGAAATGGCTTCATGTTTTGAAGCATCTTAGTACACACAAACAACCGAATTCGCTTGGTTTTAAATGGACTGGGGTTTCATTTCAAAATTAACCGTACTTATTGAAATCCTTAAATCTTGTGCAGGTTTTGTTGGGCTGAGGTCAGCAATGGCCAGCAGCTCACCAAAGCATCATCGTACTAGAGATGCATCTGTGGAGTTTAACAATCAGTTTTCAGATACATCTTCTTCATCGTCTTCCACATGCTCAGATCTCAGCATTCCATCATGTTCGAGCAGCAGCCTATATTCGGGATACACGTCTGCATCCAGCAAGACAGGCTATGATTCTGCATCTGAATCCGCGTCCAGCACTCCCAGAAGCACGTCTCGAACCACCCCTGTCAAGAACATCCCTCGACCAGGGAAGCCCGGGGTGCCTCACTCCGCTGCCCTTGTTCATAAGGGTTCCCAACGAGGATTGCTGAACTCGCACTCAATGAAAGGTGGACTTGAAAATGTACCTTCTTTTGAACTACAAGAAGATCCAGATTTTTGGAACGATCATAATGTTCAGGTGCGGTCTTCTTGCACACGATCCTGTGAGGCAATGAAGGCGTTCTGAATTTCGCTATCAATAGTTTGGTTGATTTCATTTTTGGGTCCTGTTGTTGAAATCTTAATGTCAATGGTTTCACTGAGCACTTGTGGTTGCCATTTGCAGGTCCTAGTGCGCACACGCCCTGTCAGCAACTCAGAGTCAGTAGGGGCGGGATTTACTAGATGTGTTCGACAAGACAGTGCCCATACTATTACCTGGCTAGGCCAACCCGAGACTCGTTTCACTTTCGATCACGTCGCTGGCGAGTCTATTACACAGGTACATGCTCGCTAGGAGAGCTCCTCCTACAGTGATTTTGAATGGTTGTGATGGAAACATGTTGGCATTCTGAGCTTGAGGTGCGATGGCACTGACATGCGGCATTATTGTAATGCAGGAAGACATTTTCAGAGTTGCCGGTTCACCAATGGTGGACAATTGCTTGCGAGGCTACAATAGTTGTATGTTTGCATATGGCCAGACAGGTAGTGGCAAGACTCATACAATGCTTGGAGACATTGACGATCTTGATTGCCATCCTAGCCACCAACGTGGGGTGACTCCTCGAATTTTCGAATACTTGTTTGCTACGATTCAACAAGTGAGATTCCTTCTATTTGATATGGTGTTTCTCCCTTTCGACTCCATTTGCTTGATAGATAGTTTTTGGGTGTTGTATCCGCCCATCATTGTAAGAGTGGATTCGTCTGCTACCCCGTGCTGGGTTAAAATACTGTGGATCCTGCAGGAAGTTATACTTCGGGAGCAAGAACATTTGCGATTTGTCTGCAAATGCTCATTTCTCGAGATTTACAACGAACATATCACAGACTTGTTGGACCCATCGTCTACAAACTTACATGTACCTTTCCATGCCCAGAATAATACGTTTCCTTGCCAGCGTTCTTCAGAAAGCTGTTATAATTTTTGATGCGGTGTGATTGGGAATTAAGTTGATCGATACTTCTGTATGTCCCCAGATCCGAGAAGATGCGAAAACTGGGGTTTATGTTGAGAACTTGAAAGAGGTTGAGGTTAAAAGTGTACATGACGTTGTTCAACTTCTTATCCAAGTAAGTACTTTTCTCGGTGTTGACTATTGAGGTTTTGTATTGCTTGTGAACACGGTCTCATTTATTATGTGCTTTGAAATGCCCACAGGGAGCTTCCAATAGGAGGGTTGCAGCGACGAACATGAACAGGGAGAGTAGTAGATCACACAGTGTTTTCGCTTGCAGTGTCGAAAGCAAGGTACATACATCAGTTTCAGTTCATAACTGCCCAATGGGGCTTGTGATTGTTTTAATGATATGATGGAAAGGGCTGCCTCGTTCATGTCAAGTGAGCCATCAACTAAATTGTCGTCATGCACGCATGCAGTGGGAAAGCAATTCTTTGACCAACATCAGATTCGGCCGTCTAAACTTGGTGGACCTTGCTGGTTCAGAAAGGTTCGGTTCTTTTATCTCACCACCAGTATTTTGTTCAAGCATAGTATGGTATGTTGTGTCAGAGTTCTGCATATCTGAACTTGGGAAACCCATGTTCAGCTCTTCTGATCTCTACTGTTCCTCATGAACAGGCAGAAGTCTTCAGGTGCGGAAGGTGATCGCTTGAAAGAAGCGGCGAATATCAATAAATCTCTATCTACCCTTGGGTATGTGAAACTCTCTGTACGTTCCTCTAGTTTCATAAGGGTCTATGCCTTTCTCTGATGGCTCAGCCAGTTTTAAGGGATTATGAGTGTTTATGTTGTGTTACTGAGTGAATCAGTCTAATAAATCTGTTACTTCGTGCAGGTTGGTCATCATGATACTGGTGGATGTTGCGAACGGGAAAGAGCGCCATATTCCTTACCGTGATTCTAAGCTCACCTTCCTTCTGCAGGTTTCCCTCGATGCTAACTCTAGAAGATTGTATGGACTCAGATTTTGAAGACAGTCAGTAAGACGAAGTAGACATTTTTCAGGTGTTTCTCATTTTGTGTCCATGTTAATAGTCTTGGGTTTTCATAGTTTTTTCGTGTGTGTTGATTTCAGGATTCTCTCGGAGGAAATTCTAAAACAACGATCATAGCCACAATCAGTCCTTCCAATGTGTGCGTGACGTTCACTCTGAATATTAATATTATAATATGAAAATATTTGAGTCATGCTCCCTTTTAAGTATGAATATGTTGAAAAGATATTATGCTAATATGTCGGACTGAACCATGTTTGATCATGATGTGAATAGCACTAAAGAGGTACGGGAAACACTCTTTGCTCAATGTAGGATTAAAGAGTGTATTAGAGTTGATCTTACTCTATTCTACTGTATGCAGCAATGCGCTGGAGACGTTGAGCACGCTCAAGTTTGCACAACGTGCGAAGTTCATTCGCAATAGTGTGAGTTATTTGGTTCTCAGTCATCATCGGGAATTTGTGTTTTTCAATTGCTTCTATTTTCAGATTATTGATCCAGGCTTAACATTGGCTGTCATTCTGTTTATTATAGGCCCACGTTAACGAAGATTCTTCAGGGGATGTGAACGCACTACGTCGCGAAATTCAGCAATTGAAGGTAACACAAATCTTGGTACTCATGTCTTCTACTGAACGAAACACCTCAACAACGAACTATGATAGACAATGGATCTTGTTCTTTGAATTGAATCAATTTTCCTTCTTCATCTGTACCAGAATGAACTCAACATTCTGAAAGAGCACGGTATGTCAGCCACCCAAACGATGGAAGGCGATCACCTCAACATATCGGCCATGAGTCCCGCTCAAAAACAAAGCTCAAATAATCTACATCACAAGGTGATTGGAACACCTATTTTTAGTACAAATGCCTTGCAACGTAATCCTGGCTTGATAATTTATGGCATCGTTGTAGATTGACATGCTCATGATGCGAAAATTTGATCGTCTTTGCAGATTAGGGCTGTAGAGGCTACGCTCGCGGCTTCGTTGAGAAGGGAACAACAGGCACAACTTGCAGCCAAGCAATACGCTACCGAAGTTGATCAGCTGCAATCTCTGGTGACCATTTTCTTTGACCCGTCTTAGCTTCACTGCCAAAAATGTTGTCTTAATTCACATAGGTGATGAAAGTGTGGTCCCTGAAGGAATCGTTTCAACTTTCAGTTCCAACGAGTGGGTTGTATGTTCACCTAGTTACATGAGCATTTTACTGGCAGTATACTTGTTCTGCATGTCATGTTTTACTCTTGCCAATCAAGTTGTGTGTGAAAAGTGCCTTCGTACATAATCAGTTCTCGGCACGCTTTGTAAGTTGAATTCTGGTCATTGAACTAGCATTGACTATTTTGTTTCAGGTACAACAACGTGATCAAAGCACTCAAAGTGGGAGGATGATTCTTCGCTTCAGAGATGATAAAATTCGTAGATTAGAGGCAGTAGTAGCTGGCAAGTTACCAGTGGACTATCATCTCCTTGAGGACAACAAACGGCTTGCCGAAGAGCTTGAACTTGTAAAAGCTCAAGTTGACCGTAATCCGGAGCTCACCCGCTTTGCTATGGATAATATTCGACTTATGGAACAAGTTCGAGGGTATGTGACTGCTCACTTATCTGCACTCTTTATGGATGTCTTTTTGTGGATTTCTTTGTGAATCTGTAAAGGAACATTTGAATATTAGATTCTTCCAATTATCCATGATGATGTACAGTTCCGCTTCAGAGTGTGTTCTAACTCAGTCATCTTGAAGACAGATTTCAAGAATTTCACCAGAAAGGAGAGCGTACTAAGATGATGGAGGAGATCGCAAATCTTAGAGATCAGGTTAGGCTTTGTCTTCTTTATTAATCTATATTTCTCGCTTTTCCTCTTGAAGTTTCCTCACACTTCTGAACCCTGACTTTTATCCTGAATGACAGCTATTGGAGATGACGGAAGCAAAACTGACTTTGGAACAGGGTGCCATTGCCCTCTCTAATTCACAGGTTTGTTTTTATGATTGAGCTTTTGCGTAGTTTTGTTTTACAAGTTAAAGCTTCAGTTAGTTGTTATATGTACTCATTTCTGGACGGTCTCCTTTGGAGATGCTGCGCCGACTTGTACCTACGCGTCGGAGATTCTACGTGTCTGAGGTACAACATGTACATTCTCTTTTGCAGGCTGATAAGTACCGCAAGGAACTAGAGATATGCTGTAACGACTTAAGCACATGCTTAGAGATCAACTCGACATTGACGAAGTAATCACTTTTGACAACTAAAATGTCGATTGATTTTAAACTGCGAAGTCTTCTTTCAGCGACGTGTTTTATATGCAAATGCATGCTTCTCTCTAATGACTCTCACAATGGTTGTCAACCCTCTTGCAGAGAATTGGAGCAGCTGAAACAACAAGTTGCGCAGCTCAATACACGTTGTCAAGAGCAGCAGCAAGATTTGGATTTTCTGAAGGTAACCTTCACTGTCTGAGACTAAATTTCCCTAGGAATCAGAGCTCCAGTTTGGGTTCTAGTTGTGTCTTTCGTTTTGTTCCCTTGTTGTTTTTGTGAATATGAACCTCATACCGAGTTTGCTATTCGTTGCAGGCTCAACCAATGGGACGGGTTGAAGAGCTGGAGCTAGAAAGGTCGGTGCATTTGCAAATCATCGAAGGCCTGAAAGCTCAACTACAGCAGGTTGTTTATTAATGTACATTCGTTTCTTGAATATTACTTGTTTGAGGTTTACTTCCCTTTCTATAGTAAGGGTAATACCGTTTATCTCTTCACATTTGTTCCGAATCTCCTCGTTTTGTTTCCATTACTGCAGCTGGTCTAACCAGGCGATTTACGTCTTCAGCAGAAAGAGAGCGAAAATCGAATTGCTCAGAACGAGGATATGAGGGATGTAGTTGAGATCAAGCACACTGTTCATCGGATTCAGTCGCAAGGCCAGATTCAGGATAATGTTTGCATCACTTCTGAAGTTCTGTTACCTCAAGAAGATCAGGTTCAAGTGGATAACATCGCTATCGCAGAGCGTGAGCCTTGCACACAAGGATTCACCACTGAAGTAAGTTCTTTATTTGACGAAGACATTGAGCAACTTTCTGTGTGTGACGAGAAACAAGCAGCGATGGAGACCGAGTTTGAAACTTTTTCAGAGTTGATGGTACAGAAGGAATCGCTTCTCGACGAAGACCTTGATAAACTAGATGTTTGTACTAAGCGTCAGAGTTTGGAGTCCGAGTTTGAGACATATGCAGTGGTTATGGAAGAAAGAAGTTCGTATCTATCTGAGGAGGCTGTGCGCCAGAAAGTGCATGCTAAGACCTTAGAAATGGCTTCTCATTTTGAACCCTTCACAGAACTCATGGAGGGAGAGGAATTACTTTTGAGGGAAAGCTTGGAACAACTCAATATTGGGACAAAAACAGTCGCTGGGTTAGAAACTGACAATTTGGGAGTTGTAGCTAGCAGAGATAATCTAGACATTAGACTCGACTTGAAGCCCGAAATCTCGACTTCCGTGGAATCGCTACCTGCTGTTGTAGAGGCGGATTCTTCTTGCGTTGTTGCACTCTCCACGCAGGCAAAACTCGAAATGTCCTCGAATCCATTTGAGACTGAAAGGGCAGGCCCCAAGAATCCGGAATCAACATCAGAACAGGAGACATCCAGAAACTCCAGCTCAGAAGACGTTTCGCATCGATGTGTGGAATTCGTGACTAAAACCGCAACTGTAGAGTCCATGGAGCTGTCCGAAGGCAGGGAGCTAAATTTGTCTGCTCTGGATATTTTGCAAGAAGACCTGGATGCCATACGCGCTGGAGTCACTGAGAATGCCTCAGTGAGGTTGGATGCTACAGATTCAATTTTGATTAACGCCGACAACAAGCCTATTAATGTAGAGGTAACCAAAGGTGGATCTACCATGGGCACCGAGATTAAATCGGATAGCGAGACATCTACATCGGGGGGAGACGTGAAGGCGCCATCTACACAAGACGGAGACGTGGCAAGCACTTAATTCCCTGACTTCGCATGCAGCACTGATCAGACTAGTCATAGCGAAGGGAGAATAACCACGTCTTGATTAGTCAGCGAGCGTTGCTGAAGAGCTACTTGTTGAGCTAGTTCGAGCCGTGCTTGCTCTGTAGATACTCTCAAAGAAAGGACACTTCTGAATTCAGTTATCTGCGAGCGAGTACATGCCTGCCGAGGCCTTTCGATGCTTCTACAACTGGTGACGGACCCTCTTCTGCCACAACCGAACCTCTGGCTAACCTTAGGAGACGCACAGCCCTTTCTAGATCGTCTATCAGAAGAGATCATTGGTGACGGAATCATTTTACTGCTAATTAACGAGTTGTCGGAGCTCTTAAAATCCTCCTGGATGAGATTCCTCGCTTTCTAGATATTTGGACTTGGAACCATCCTTTTAATTTGAAAGTGGAGACGTCGTCGAAGACTCTATAGCTTGGAACTTTCTTCAGATACAGGACACAAGGACAATTGGAGCCCCCTCAGAATGCCACAAGACGGAGCACAGTTGTTACTAGAAGATCCTTTTCTGGGTATTTATCTCACCTTGTTGTTGGATTTTGCGGACGGCTTGATCCTGACGAGAATTGACAAACCTCGTTATCTCTTCAAGTATGTGGGTATATGTGTACACTTACATATTTGGGGAGAACTAATGCCCAGCGCATGTGGAGCAACACCGACCTAGCACATTTTTAGGCCGGACAAGGATGGTTATTAGCTAGCGATATATTTTGGAGTCCAAGCATGTGGGTGATGTTGGTTCAACCAGCGGTCTCTTCAAACCGGCCTGGATTTTGGAAACGGGCACTAATTTTCCCTTAGGACAGCTTCAAGCTGGGCCTTTCAAGACTTCTGCTAATTCGGTAATGTAGTTGAACTCGTATCACCTCTTTAGGCACTTTTTGACCCACTCATGCAGGTTCTCCAGCTTGTATAGATTCATCGTTTCAATCGCTAGCTTAGCTATCCTTTCTGATAGGCCATAAGGATATTGTGAAGGAGTGGTAGTGTTTGAGTAAATTCAAGGAAACTTTGAATTGTGCTCTCACTGCGTTTAATCACTAGACTAAGACACCAACCTGGGGACTTGTGTGCAAGTTCATCGCTTAACCCCTGTATTTATTATCAAATTCAATGAAATTTCGCATGTAGATGAATTGATCCAAACCATACTGTCGACGGTGTTCCTGCTGGGCCTCGCATTTGCCGTCCAAGTTGTAGGATTGTGATGTGTTGAACTCGTAACTTGCTGAGGACCCTTGCTCTCCTTCACAAACTGTGTGCTGACATACTCCAGCTGAATCGTCCAGTTCTGGAGCTGGTGTGAGCTTTGGACTATGAATGGCATTTGAGAACCTGTTAGCGGGACATGGAGAATGGTCGACTCTTAAAAGAAACAAAGTATTGCACACGATAAGACCACAATGACTGAGTAAAATTTAAAAATCTTATTTCTAGAAGAAGATAAATACTTACACCATTTATACTTGATTGATTGGTTTGTTTGATGTAATGTGCCTCATGTGTGCAGAGTGGTAGTTGAGAATACTTTAAATTTTACTTCTTAGGACTATTATTGTTAAGTTTTTTAAATGTAAAAGGAAAGCTTAAGATTTTTTTTGTAGATTAATTATATGGCTCTTATGTAAAACTTTTATACCTATGAAATAGTCAACTACATATTGTACTACATATATTTTAAATAAATAAGACGATTTCAAACAATTATTCATTGAGATTATTCATATATTATTTAATTCGTCCAAAAATATTAAAAACTGATTTTTTGTTGTTATGTATTTATGTTATGAAATTAATTTACTATTTATTTATTATTTTTTGGTGTATAGAGTATATTGGATGGAATATGCTAATGACTCATTTTACTAATAAAGCCTCCATTCCATTGACAAGATCAATGACTCCTAATCCATCTTTTATTTAAGCTATGCAACTAAGTTATTATCCAACTTTGCTGCAAGTTAGATTTTGAATTATATCCCAAAAACTAGTTTATAATTAAAATTTCAATTTTGTTCTCTTCATTTATTGATTCTACCCAAATGGATATGAAAAAATATAGAGAGAAGAGAAGAAAAATGTTTACAATGACAACTTTGACCACTATAATAATTTTTGTTGAACAAAATTATATAGTAACAATATCATACTAACAAAATTCTAATTTTTTTTGAGTTTTTTTTACAAAGAATTAATCAATTTTTATTAGATTCAAAATAATTAACTAAAAATAATTCTAAAGAATTTACCATCATCATTTGTCAATTTCCAATTCTATCTAAATTTATCAACCTATTGTGGTTTTTAGACATGTTTGTATTGCAAATATGCGTCTAATTTGGATCAGTTTATTTCTATTTTATAAGCTAGACAAAATATTTAAAAAGTTATTACAAGGTTGACTACATATTTTTCTTCCCATTTTAACTTTAATGTTGGATTGTTTGTATATTGGCTAAGTAATTGTCAACTAATGCTACTAGAAAATGAAAATTTACATGTAATTTTGCATTATTTATAGCCTTTGAGATTGTAATGTTTAACATTTTTTCAACTATAATAGATAAATTCAATATCAAAGAGTGTCCTTGCTTAATACTTTTTGCAATTAATTTTTTAAAATATTAGACCTATGTAGTTTAACAATTGCTTCTATATGTTTGAATAATATTTGTATGATATGTGTAAAATGGTTATCAAAACCTAGATGCTTTAAAGCTTTAAACAAGAATTTCAAAGATGTTATTAAATTTCAAAATATGTAATTTTAATATTAATATATATCATTTATGAATCTTGGTTCAATTAAAATATTATTTAATATAGATATATATATATATATATATATATATATATATTAAGATAATTTTTTTTACATTACTTGGATATGTTTTAATAATATCTAAATATATATCTTATCAAATATGTTTAATAAAATAAAAAGATGCTAATTACTAAGTTTGGTCCTTTCACTACATTCATGCAAAAGTACTATGTGATTTAAAAATATTTTGAAGGAAATAACCACAATTTAAATGTTGAATAATCAATCTTAGTTAGTATTTTCTAATAACATAATAAAATACTTAAAACAAACCTTCTCCTCCACCATGAAAATCAAGTGTTATTTTAATTATTATTTTTTTATTTTTTATTTTTTTTGTTGAATATGCTCTTAAATTTATTATTAAAAGATCCACCAATACTTTATGTAGATCATATCATGTAACTTTGTCTTATAATCCATAGGTCTTTGAAATAATTTAAATTCATTTTGAATAGATTTTTTAAGCTTTGTAATTTAGATTTAAAATAATAGTTCTAAGAGAAATTGACGTCTTAGGATTTAATAGCCTCTATATGTCATATTAGAGACATAAAAAAAAAAATTAGTTGATCTAAGGCCTATTTCAATAATAATAGATATCATTTACTTCTTTCTTTCAATTTCTACATTATCTAAACTATATGTTTTATTAATATTATTTTTTTTCAAATCTACCACCCTTTTTATTATGCTCTAAATTCTTTCATCAAAGTTAAAATATGATATATTAAATATTACTTTTGATATTTTATTGTTTTTATTTCAAATTTGAATGCAATCAATATCTGTTACTTAATAACTTTTAATACATGCATATGTTAGTCATCATAAAATCCTATCTTGCAACAATGGCTAATATTATTGTGTTGCTTTTCTTAGATTGATTTGTTGTACTTTTTGGACTACACTTAGCACCTTTTTAAGGTTTCACCTAATAGAATTTGAGACTACTACCATATTTAATATGACATCAAACCACCACATTATATCAAGTTAATTTTTTTCTATTATTGTATCAAAAGATTTTTTTTATATACAACTAATTATTACAAATTAACTCATAGCTTTGATTACTAATTTTTTCTTGTTAAAAAATCAACATTATATTCTAAAAATATCTTTTTTATATTTATAGTTTGATATATGATCTATTTTATTATTTTATTTAATTCTAGTCCTAAAAATATTATAGTTATACAATTACTTTTACTAATACTATAAAGACTAATACCATATCAATGTCTTGTGTTTTCTTGTTGAATAAGCTTTTATATTTGAATTTGTGGCATTTTGCTTATTATTTTTTTTGAATTATTGACATATTAACTATCTTATAATATAAAAATTATAACTATTTTTTTATCTAAATTTGTCACTACTTGGCATAATAGATAAATACATAGTATTTAAAGATTATAATTTATAAAAATGTGAGAGACTAATATTTCTTGTTTCTTTCTTTTTTTAAATTAAATCACTTATATAAATAGTTATTATATTTTTTTGTGTATTGCCACTTATAAATATTATTGTATGCATTTATTTTTATTTTTATTTTTTTATTTTTTAAATAATCTATTAATTAAAATTTTATAGATAAAAATAGGTATTAATAAGTTCTAAGTTTTATAATTTTTTTTATTACTATTTATTAATTTTTTTTATAATGAATTTTTATTAATAATTAGAAGCTACTTGTGGCAACTTTGCATGTGGCTAATACTCAATACACAAAGCATTGTTTTAATTTATATCTTAGATTATATTATTGCATGTATACATTGCTTTCAGTTTATTCATATATTAAATCTACAACATTACATCCAACTATACATCACTCCTAAGTATCAATGACTTTATAATATTAGACTTGGCAATAGTAGAGATAATGTTGTCTATCTTTTCTTTGTTGCCTATTATAGCAATATTTATACATAGATAAGACGTTAGAGATAGAGAAAAGAAAGAAAAAAAGAAGAAGCAAGAACATGAAGAAGAGAAAAAGTACAAAGAACGAAAACAAAAAGGGCACTACAAAGAGAAGTAGAAGGAACAATAAGAAGAGCAAAAAATGGAAGAATAAGAAGATGAAGAAAATAGCAAGATAAAAATAATAGACTTGGATACAAGTGTAAGCTTTAGTAAGTGTTGATTTAGCACATGAAGATTAAGATCTTTTAATGGATGGTTGTAGAGATGGATGCTAATGACAAGAAAAACTTATCTAAGTATATAACTTTTTTATTTTTGACCAAATTTTGTAGTAGTATAAATGCAAATTACTTAAAGGCTAGTTGGTGGTGGAATAATTGTGAAAAAATCATGGCCATTACTACAAACTAAAAAAACATGATCTCCTCTAATTACTAAAAATCTAGAAAGAATAAGAAGATGATATTCAATGATACTTTTGATTGGGGATCTAAATGAGAAAAATAAATGGAGTAGGAGTATACCAAATTGATAGAAGATTTTGACTAATATCAAAAAGAAAGAATAAAGTTCTTGCCAAAGTTGTTACTAGAAGTTAGTAATAATATTATCAATACTATTAAACATTATATCTTATGTTTTTTATATATATTAGCAATAACAAGGCTATTATTAAGAGACTCAAATGCCATTAGATATAATAGTTTGTAGATACCAAAAACATTATAGGACAACTGTAAATTAACATATTTATTATCAAGACTATGCATAGGGTGCACATCAAACAAGAATTTATAAATCATTTGAAAGTTATTAAATATAAATCATCAAATATTTTCTAAAGTATAATTTAAGTTAATTGATCTTATTAATATTCTATTATGCTTCAAAAAAAAGTCTCAAGCAAGGGCATTAAATTAAAATCTAGTTGAAAATATTAATTAGTCTCACTTTGTTATTAGCATAGATAATAATAAGATCTTATTTTTTTTGAGGTGATAACAATGTCAAGTACATAGACATTGTGTCTAAAAAGAAGAACTGCTCCTATATGATCTAAGGCGTATTATAAAATATTTGTCACATATTTCATAAGAGAGCTAAGAATGGCTTCATAACAAAGGATGTATACTTACAGTAACTTAAGGAATCCTATACTTAGTGATAAAATGTTTCAACTATCAACATGCCAAATATGCGGATTATCTATGTGAACAACTATGATAGATACAAAAATAGTCTTAATATTCAAATAAGCCTTTTAATACTATGAACCAACATTTCTAAGCTTGTTGCATGTATAATTGATAAGATCTAGCTTTGAGATAGCTTTGTGGTCTCCAAGCTTAAAGACACCTATACAAATCTATAGAAGTAGTATAAGTTT